GATGATACTCCGTACGTAATTCAAAGGTAGAATGATGAACAAGAAAACAATGTCGTACCTGATTTTTTCACAGTTTCAGTTGGGTGTTGGTTGATTACACGGGGCAAGAAAACACCTGTCCCCACAGTATGAGATTTATTCCGGAGCCCTGACCCGCCAATTAATATTGCCTGCATACCCGACCCGTTTTCCACCGGGTTCACCTTTTCTCCCCCCATTCGCGGACTCTTTTTCGATGACGGCTGCTGAGCCCGGTCTTTGGGGTCGGGCTGTGACTCGGTTCTCGCCTTTCTCCGTCGGGTCGACCCGGCCTTCTTGGATCGCCTTCCCCGCGAAGCAATCTGGATCCCCTGTTCAACGACCGAAGGCTGGTTCTGTAATTTATAAACCTGCAGAAACGCCATTAATGGAGTCTTCACATGAAAAAGATCGGATCTTTATTCTTTTCTTTTTTTCACTTACTTCAATGGGTCTAATCGAATCGTTAAGCATGAAACTGGGTTGAACTGCGGAACCCGATTCGAATAATCCTCTGTTATCGTAATAACATATCGAGCTGCCATTGGAGGGTTTTTCCTGGGGAAGAATGGGTTTTTCACCTCCGCCGCCGTCATCATCATCTCGGAGCATGTAATCAGCCATCTGCCGAGTTAACTCGGCAATGAAATCTTCCTCTTCTTCCTCTCCGCCGCCGCCTGTAACGTCGCTCTCTGTTTCGGTTATGGTGAAGCCCAATTCGGACCCGCAGGAGGTGCTGAAGCCATCAGAAGAAGTTTCGGATTGGGCGCCGGACCCGAAAATGGAATCCACGCCCCAAACGGGATGACGCAGAGGAGCGTCGTCTTTCACATGCAACTCTATAGTGGCCATAACAATGGCGGTGTTCAAATGGCGCTCCTTAAATATTGAATTAAAACACAGGAAAAGAAGGCTCCGGACTCGAATGTTTTTTGCCTAAGAAGGCAGTTGTAATGGGAGTTCATATATACTCTGTATGTACTTGCTCCTTCCCAAATTAAATTTAGAAGCTCTTAAGATTGGAGAACGTTTTTAATAGGGTTTAGGATGTTTTCTTATGGAATATGGATTATTTTCAATCCTACGTCACATCAAATCAGATCAGATTAAAACATATTAGATGGGATTGAAATAGATGAGAATAAACTAGACCATATTATTATAATCATCATCAACAATATTATATTACGAATATTATTATATTGGAAAAAGTACAGAAAAAGTACTTGTGGTTGGGCCCGTTTTCAGATACGTTAATGTGTTTCATTCTTTATCTAAGTGGTTCATGTGTTTGAATTCCATTATCACAAGAGGGTCACGCCGTTAAAAACGCCTGAAAAAGACCGTTAAAACTAACTCTGATTTTCAAAAGTGCCCGGAAAATTAAAAGAAAAAATACTGAAAGCTGCGCCTCGTCAAGATGACCTTCAAACCACCTTCGCCTTTAGATTTTTCAGATCTGTTTGAATTATTTTTTAAAAATGATTTCGTTAATATCACTTTTCCGGTGGACTTTCCGGTGACAGGGGTGGCTGAAAACAAAAAAAAATATGGCCTACCAGTCGTCTTATTGAGGCGCACCTTCTGATATTTTTCTTTTAATTTTTCGGGCACTTTTGAAAATTGGAGTTGCTTTTAACGGTCTTTTTCAGAAGTTTTTAACGGCGTGACCCTCTTGTGATAACGGAATTCAAACACATGAACCACTTTGATAAAGAATGAAACACATGACCCTATCTGAAAACAGGCCCAACCACAAGTACATTTTCCGTACTTTTCTCTTTATATTATTTATATTACAATTACTTTGTACTAGTATTATTTATGTTCATACGAAGTATATTATTATACATACGAATATTTTATGAATGTTTCTTAATTGGATAAAATTTTCTGATTTGATTTAGTTCGTCTATTGAAACTGGTTTGGTCTATTATAGTCTAGTCTGGACTGATCTATTCTGATTTGGTCTGTTTAAGTATGGCCTGCTTTGATCCAGATTGGTTCTAGACAGAAATCAATCCATGTAAAGCATTATATCTTTCGATAATTTGGAAGGAAATTTATTATTTTTAATTATATATGAATAAAAATTAATTATTTACGAATTATAATATACGGCGTATAAATAATATGCCAGTTAAAATAAAATTCTAGACCAAATCAAATCAGTATAGACCAAAACAGACCAAATCAGAATAAAGTAGTCCGGACCAGCAAATTTTAGTCTAAAGAAAACATCATTAATGCACCAAACCTCATATAGAAGTTCAATGCATTAGTCCCTTGTGATTTAAAAAATGCATTAAACCTTTTGTGTTGTAATTATTAATGCGCAAGGCACATTCTATGAACAAATTTAATAATTTGGAAATCACTTTCCTTTATATTAAACTCCATAATTGAATATGCAAAACAAATTGTATTGAAATTTCCAAATTATACAAAAATGCTAGTCATTTATCTTTTATAACTTATAAAAAGGGTCATGCTCATGAATTATTATAACACATGGGGGGTTGACGCATTTTTTAATAATCACATGAGACAAATGCGCTAAATTTCTATATTACAGAAGAGTTAGGTGCATTAAACTCGTTTTAAATAGGTCTGGTTTTTCGCCTGATCTGGTTTGGTTTGATCAATTTGAACTATGCTGCTTTGATGAATGTATGTTATATGTGTAATCTATAATAATGAAAGTCTAGTCAAATCTGATCCGAACTAGATTGAATCTAGTCTAATTAAAGATAGCTTTGCTACTAATGAATTCAAATATTTTCTAGAAATAGTTAAATAGAAAATCGCTAAAAATGAGTGAAACCTTATAAATTTCTTATATGGAAGTAGCATTATTTTCATTTCAAAATATGACCGCTCTTATTTAGGATGAATGTTTTTATTTTGTTCTTCTTTTTTAATAGGCATAAATACAAAATTGATGACATATTTATAATCAAAATAAAAGTAATGGACACATATATATGACATCTTAAATGTACCATCTATACTAGTAACTTTTAGTAACAATTTTTATGCTCAACTTTTACATATAAGTGTCTCCAACAACATTTATTGAAGGTAATTTTAGTCCTATTTGTATTACTGCATTTTTTAAGTAATATTTTAGAAAAAATCCTCATAAATATGCCCTACTTTGAGAAGTAAACTCATTTGTTCATACTCCGTATTCAGAACTTTGCTTATAATTTGCTCTTTTTTTACTACGGAAGGCCAACCACCAAAATCAGTGAGGTAAATGCCGGAGGACATTTACCAGATATTATTAAGCAAAAAAAAGATACAAAAGAGAGGGGGATCAGACCGATACCTCTCAAAGGAGGCATACCTCCGAAAAACAGAGAATAAAACATTGGGGGGACAAGGCCTGACCCAATAAAATAAAAGTACAAAGAAAATCTTAGAGAAGAAAGTCCAAATAAATCCATAAAGTAAGCATTTTTGGCCCGGGTTGGAAGCTGATTGGGCTGAGTGTCAGTAATGTGTTGGGCTATCAATTGATCCGCAAGGAAGTAAATTCTTAAGTTACATAAATTCTAATACATAGTAACTATTAACTAATATACACATATTTAGTAATTACAATTAAATTTATATAGAAGTTGCGGAATCAAATTAGAATGTAATAAATAAGTGATATGATATCCTAAATTAAAATAATAAAATCATTATCCTAATCACAAGAATTGCACATGTAAATCAATACGGGAGAGAGAAAGTAGGTGCGTACAAGAGTACAAAATTTGAATTCGTTGAAAAATACTAGAGTAATTTGAATATCATAAAGTTATTCAAGTTATTACTAAATTATGTAAATATGTATATCGATAAATTGAAAATGTGTCATGGTAATTGATTTTTTTCGCAAACAAAAGGTTATATAGAAATAAAGTTAAAATGAACGTCTTTACCCGATTAAGCCAATGGGGTTCCCTAAACTTCGGATTTTTTGTATTAATCGATTTAGTGAATGATATAAAAAGAATCTTGACTGGTAAGGCTAGCACAATTGATCAAAAAGTTGCATGTTTGCATATTTCCTACTCTTTTAATCTACATGAGGCAATTTGTATATATAATATTATTAATGTGTAATAATATGGTCGCGCATGCACACATATGTTTGTATCTTATGTGTATTTATGTTGGATCGTTTGAAAGTTCAATTCTTATCAAACATGCTCTCAACTCTGTAAAGTAGATTATACACCACTTAAGATATTTTTACTTGGACTGAGATTTTCTGGTAAAATCTAGTCTGGTGTAGTAGATGCTTGATATATATTATAACTGTCGATTTCTGATCTGGTCTATTTAAGTTTGACGTAACATGATTTAGGACTGAAACCCGTACAAGTAAAAACATCTAGAGTTTATATATGGGTGCATCTAAAATCTATGTCTAATAAGTTTTAGAAACTATATTCTCATGATCAAAATGTCTTGAGTGAAAACAATACTATTTTTTATCGAACTGCATATGAAGTATTACTTAAATAATGTGTGTATTATCTAAGTGCATATTACCTAATGTACTTTATGTTATTTTATTTCCTTTACTTAATGGACAATCTAAGTTGATATTCTATCTTCCTATAAGCAACAACAGTTCCTATCTTTGAGGATAAGTATATTACTAGAGAGGAGAGTGTTCATATGGCTACTAAAAGTATTGAATTGTTAGTCGGGATTGGGGAGGCTTTTTAACCGGTAGATGTTCGAAAGTATGAAAGATTCAAGCTAAATATTGGTATTCAAGATTCAACATACAAATTGATAACATTTAAAAGACTTCTATACAACTCGAAAGAATCAAATAAACATCCCAAAGCTCGATCGATACATTTAAAGAGCAAAAGATTTTTCAAGTTCTACTGAAAGCAACCAAAGATTAGTCCTACCCAATCAAGTCTGCGTAATCATGGATTCCTACTTGAAAATAAATAAAGGAATCAAATATATACCGCATTATATTGTTCACAACAGCCTTGCTGCATAATGAATTATATTAAAGACTAAAATTTATCAAAACATCATGTCTTATAATCTCTATATGTATGGTCATAACTTGTATGTGAAATGCCCAAGTTCTAAAATTCTAAAATACAGAAAACACCACTGAAAATAAAGGTGATTTTATTAATCCATAGGCATGCTTTCATGTTTTCGATTATTTTAGCCTCATCCAACTTGATAAAAGTGTCTCACAGTCAATAATAAACCGACCCTACAAAATAAGGTAATTAAGTACACTTATATACATATCCAAACCATGTTGCATTAAGCTCTACGAAATTCTAACATAGGTAGTAAGCATACCGTCCCACCAATTCCCTTGTGATACACTCTGTGAGTTGTTTCCTTTGGGATCATATTCCTTCTTCTTGAATCATAGGCATTAAGGATTCAAATGGTAGTTATTTAATCCATCACATTTAACAATTAATGCAAATTAAAGTTTATTTTTCAAGTAAGAGGCTAACCTTAGGCATTGATTGTGCACTTCTTGGCTTGATATACATGTCCTCTTTTGAGCTATAGTAAACTGATGAAGACAATGGGGAAGGTGTTGATCTATCATGCAATGTTGTGTCACAGTTTGCACTATTAATCATATCATCCGCTGACAAAAAACTGAATATTATTTTTCATGTTTCAATATTACGCCTCTCTTTTTTATAGCAACACTTCAACAAACTACACCATTAAACCCTATTTCATGTAATTTGTTACAAAGAATCAAAATAGTGATAGTAATTCACTATCACTTTGACATATAAAACTTGTCAACACCAATTACACATTGAGGGGCGCCAATGAGGAGCAAACCCTAGCCCCCCCCCTTCTCTTCTTTCAATCTCTTCTTTTCTCTCAACTACCACATCAACAATGAAGCCTTAGTTCCAAAAGAGTCATTCTTTTCTCTCAAACATGAAAAAAAGAATTACTTAGCAGGTGTTTTCAATTCATCCTTTATATTCCTTTCCTATCATTGTTTAGAGATTTAATTTTGTGTTCCACATCGGTATAACTTGTTGAATGGCGAAAATGTTTTTCTAGGATGCTAATTTTGGGCATCAACAGCTCTGATGACGCAATCACCATGCTACAAGAAGTGATTGATTGGATCTCCGTTCCGGGTTGGTCAAACTGATGGTTCTTCTAATTTTTCCCCTATGGATTCAAGTAATTCCTTTTAAAAGACGGGACAACTAGATTTTGTGTTATTTCCTTGTTGATGTATGGTGAAGCTAGTTCATATGTTTACTTTCTCTCGTAGTTTATTTTGAATATTTTTCTAGTCTTAATTATTGATCTAGTAGCAGGAACAACTATGCTAATAGAAGAGTCTGCCATCTTGGTAGAGTTAGTGAAGTGTTATGTTTTTTGGGGATTTTTCAGTTTCGTGTCTTATCTCATTGTCTATCTGGTTGCTTTTATAGTGGTTATTCTTATCATCAATAAATAAATTTGTTTGCTCTAATATATACGTAGTATATAATTTATAATAATTATAAAGTTGTACATATATCAATCAAACATGACTCATTTTGGGACATGACAGTAAAAAGAATGAAAACTGAAGAAAATACACTCTTTGTTTACAAATGTAGTTTCCAATGTAAAAAAACAATGGACCGAGTCATGCTGAGTTGACAATCACAAAAGAGAGTCAAAGTCTAGCATGAGGTCCACATATGGACCTTCGGTCTCACCTTGGGTGGGAGTGCATTCACCTTATTATTATTATTTTTTGCATTGCAACACAATTATAATGGACCCTATCACTTTGAAGAAAATTGGCCCACAAATCAAATAGACTCTTTCCATTGTGATGCCACATCATCTCCAATGCGCCGTAGTGTTGGAGATGCACTAAGAGCATCACCATTCGTAATCTCTAAAAATCAATATATTCTATGATTCTTACCTTTTAAATATTGTTACATAATTAATTTTTAATTAATCTCAAAATCCGTTTATGCATCTCAACCATCATCTTCAAATAATCCGCTTTTTTCTCAGCCATGCATTAACGTATTACATATACTTTTCAAATAATCTTAAAATAATCCGGATTCATATTTTGATCCCGGATTATTCTAGCAAATAATCTCATTAAATAATCAATGTCTCTCAATGATACTCCTCCAAAAAATCCGCATGTCATCAATTTAATCTCTTAATAATCCTTCCAATGAGGATGTCCTAAGTAGTAAACATAGATGATAATTATCTATTAAATTAACAACCTTCGATGAATCATTACAAATTTATTTGGTAATGTAAACAAGCCTAATATGAAAGAAGAGCATTGAAATCGCACGTTACAAATACGGAGTAGTAATTTACAAACATTAGAAATAATTCCGTAACTTATGATCATAAAATAGATGGTGGACAAAATGTAACTTATTGACTCTTAGTTACTAAAGATGTTCAAATTTTATATCGTAATGACCGTAAATATATTACATATACGCATATATAGTGTCTTTAGTTGCATTTTTGCCTATATATAAATTTAGTTTAGTAATATTAAGACATTTCAGTATTATTAATATTAATTGATGGAGTATATGGCTCAGGGACCTCCGGCCCACATACTCTTACTTCTCCTGCTCAAGCCTAATGTGCACACAAAGCCCTAATATTGCGGCCCAAGTGTGAAGAGGCCCATGATACACACCTGGGTGCCTTCGGCCCTATGGCCGAGGGCTCCGAAATCCACGGGGCAGCCAGATTTGGGCACACAAAGCTAATGGGAGAAAAACATAGAAAATAGGAGCCTTCGGCTCCTAGGCGCCCTCGGCATCTGGGCAGCCTTCGGCTACACAGAGCCTTCGGCAACAGCACGATCAACGAAGATTCCTTTTACAAACAGGCGCCCACCGCATTCAATGTGACGTCACGTCCAACCACCGCATTTAATGCGGTGCACATGCAGATGTCGGTGCCACCCCGATTGAGGTGACCCTCGACCATCGGATGTTTGACACGTGTACTCCCCTAGCATTTATGGTTACTATAAATAGCCGTCCTTATTCTCCTTGTAAAGCATCTCGAGTTCATTTAATACATTTGACTCTCTCTCTCTTACTTGCTTGCTCTGACTTCTCTCTAGGGACCCCGCTATAACCCCTCGGATAAGCTACCCCCGGGTACGCTATCCATCATTAATATTTGTAAAATAATTTAGAAGAAACTTAAAACATTTCCAAAAATTAAAATGAACGGATGAAAAAAAGAATGACGGCACGATTCAGACGAAGTGATTAATCGTGAGAAGCGGTGTTAATTTTCCCACACCAGTGAAATATGAAGTAATAAAGTGTTATATTAAGAGGCCGTTTGGCAACACCGCTTTTTGGCTTATCAGCCAACCTTTTCACTAAACACGTATTTTTTGCTTTCGCGTGCTGAATTGTGTAATAAGCAGAACACGTAAGGTTGGAGTTACTTTTCTGGCTGTATTGGCTGAAGTTACTGTAGATTACCATTTTAGCTATTTTTACATATGATTTTTTCTTTATTTTATTAATAAAATATATTTTAAAAATTATTTTTTCTTAAATCAGCAGAATCAGCCAATGCAGCCACTTCAGCCAGGACTTCATAAATTTTAGCAGAATCAACCAAAACAGCCGATTTTCGTGCTACCAAACAGGCTCTAAGATTATGAGTTTTTCCTTCTATGAAGTTAACCGACGGAACCCCATAGAGGACCCACACCATGATTGTACCAATTGGAATCTGATATCATATTAAGAACTGAGTTTCTATCTTAAAAGGTTAATTTGATAAGAGAAGTAGCACATGATCTTCATATAACAATTTATTATTTCATATTTCACCGGTGTGGGACAATTAACAAATTGAGTTATGGAATTTGAGGAGTAAATGGTAAAAAAAATGAAGTGCAAACTACAACGTAACGATGTAGCAACGTAACATGCCTTGTGATTCTTTCTTCCATGCTTGAAATTCATATAACTGCTTGTCAAGACATTCCATGAGGTATGAAGATGAATTAGATGAGGGTCTCCTCACCTGTAAATCCAATAATAATCCATATATAGATTATACTACGTATATATTAATATATGCTTCACAATAAATTCAATCAAGATGATATATAGCTCTTAAACAGTATTCCTTAAATTGCATCAACGTCACGCTCTTTTATCCGGATATATAATTAATTAATACGGAGTTTTAGGATGTTTTCTTTTGGACTGAAATTTGCTGGTCTGGTCTGGTCTGGTCTGGTCTGGTCTGTTTAAGTCTGGTCTGGTCTGGTCTGGTCTGTTTAAGTCTGGTCTGGTCTGGTCTGAACTGGTCTGGTCTGGTCTGGTAAACGTCTGGTCTCTGTGTATTTTATAACTACGGAAGTCTGGTCTGGTCTGGTCTGTTTAAGTCTGGTCTGGTCTGGTCTGGTCTGTTTAAGTCTGGTCTGGTCTGTTTAAGTCTGGTCTGGTCTGGTCTGGGACTGAAAACAGTCCAAAAGAAAACATCCTTAGTATAAACATCATGTACGATAATACAAAGTCTATTGGTACTCCATACTGTTGATCCAAGCATGATCGTCGTTCAAAACATGATACTCATATTTTGGAATTTCAAAACGTTTTTACTCCTATTTAGGGAATTCTCTCTATTATTATACAAGAATAAAATTAAGCATTAAATATTAATGGATTACTATGTTTTATATATTTTACTTCCTTTAAAGAATGTTTTATTTTACTTCTATTTCTATCAAACAGCATTAATCGTGTTCCCAACAAGGACGAAAGCTACCCAATGATATCGGGTGTTAATTAATTGACAGTTTAGCACTAATAACACATTTGCAGTTTGTAAATATAGGGTTTGTTTTAAAATTAACGTTTTGACACGCTAATTTAAAAAAACCGATATGATTAAGGGTCAAAACAAAAAATTGCTTATCTAACTGAATAAAATTCACACATCTTAAAATCCCAAAGCTTAGATGTTTTTACTTGGACTGTTTTCAGTCTCAGATTAAGCTAGATTAAGCCAGACTTAGATAATTATAAAATACACATAGACATTTACCAGATCAAACAAGATAAATTAGGACTAGACCAAACCAAATGAGACCTTAAAACACCTTTAATACGCACAGAAACGTTATTAGCTAAGGATAAGCTCTCTAACGAATTTGTTAGGGACGTAACTTTAGTGCGTATGAATCTCTAAATTTGTTGAAATCTCCTTTGGAGAAATTATTATTTCGTATTGTTTTAGTTGATGAATACTAGTTGTACCCTGTACATAAATTGTACACACACTTCAGTTGTCTATATAGACAATTCGTTTCAAAAGGGTCAGAATCTCATATCAAAATGCTTATGTACATATGCTTATGTACATAGACAGTTTACAATTTGTGTACAAATTTGGGATATACGTAGTACCAAGCATGCCTCTTTAGTTGATAGACTCGAGTTCTCAAGGGATTGAATAGAACATCAAAAGCCAACACAATATAACTAATTAAAAAAAAGCGTGCAAACACATACAATGAATGAAAAATGTTAAGTTAATTCACAAGAGATCGAAATAATTTGACTTACAAGAGGTGGGAAAAGTAAGGAGAAAATCCCAGGGGACTGGGATGAATCCTTAGGAGCAGAAAGATCTTCGGTTAGAGATGATGACGATGAACCGACTTGCTCCTTGCCAATTTCCATTGTTATGTTTAATTTGTCGGAGATAAAGATGAATTGGATGAATAAGAAGTGAGATTTGAATTGATTGAGAGATAAAATTACAGGTTGGGGGATGCGTAGAATATTAAATCCGGAGATCGAAATAAAAGGTGACTGACTCATGCCGTCACCATACCATATCAGTCCCATAATTTAGACTAGGATTGGAACACCTCACGTTTCACAAATACAAGTTATGTAAAATCCATAAATAGGAGTATAAAAACGTGGTTTCCTCTATGAATAGGAGTTGTTTAGTCCGTATAAAAGAATGACGGAATAAGAATAAAAACGAGGTTGTCAAATAGGAGTAGATGAGTTCTATTTTGAGAAAAGTTACACGCTATATGTACGATATTTTCTCTAATCTTAAATAAACACTATTGTTCAAATTTCTGCCCATGCAAAAAACCCATGTTCCCACCGAAGTTTCATGTGTACATTTTAGCATACGTTACTTTTATTCATGTCATCATTCTATGGTGGATTATCCAATTTTTAAGTGTTCAATGTTTTAACTAATAAAATTTTAAAGAAGAATAAATAGATTTTTATTAAATTACACATATATACTTGCATTATTTTTTAAATTTTGGGTGTTCATGTGAACACCTTGGAACACTACCACATCCGCCTTGACCGCCACGCATGACTTTTTTGTTGGAAGTTAGAAACATTTGCGTATAACACTGATATAATTTTTCATTAAAGAGTTAATGTGTTAAAATGCAACATTATCAATAATTAATGTATCATTTATGTATCACATACAGATTTGTGTAGTTCAGATAAAAATAATAAAACTTTAAAAGTAACAAAGTTTTTGGTACACCCATAAAACTGACAATATTTAATGAAATGGACAAGTACGGAGTACAAGATACATAAATTTGCGGCATGTTTGATGTAAGGCTGATTGCACAAAAAGCAATTGTGATCTATTCACTCGTAAAAACTCCACTCCCACCCACTTTACACTTCGCTGGAGGAAAGCAAAAAGGAGTTTTTTTTCGAATTAATGTTAATTAATTAATTAATTACGAAAATAATGCTGAAAAAAAAAGTATTTACCGATCTACTGCTGGCCTTAACCACGGTCAGGAGTAAGTCTCCCAACGGTTGGGCGACTTATAAGTCGGCAAACGGTTTGGCGACTTATAAGTCGCCCAACCGTTGGACGACTTATAAGTCGCCAAACGGTTTGGCGACTTATAAGTCGTCCAACCGTTGGGCGACTTACCCCTGAAATATGGTTGAAGTAGCAAATCTGGAGGAGTAGCAATGTGGATATACTCCCATGACCAAATCTGGAGGAGTAGCAAAAATCCCCCAAGCTCTGTGCTCCCTCTCTGGCAGCCGCGACAAAGCTGTCTGTACAGATAAGCCAGGGTGGCACTACCCCAGCTGAACTGTGCTGCTACATCAAACCTCTCTAGCAAAGGCAAGTGCAACACCTGAACCTCATTTCCGCTCTTGTCAGCGAAAATGGAGGCTCCCATCATCATCAATATATAAGCCCGAGCATGCTGCTGGATCATCACCTCATCAGCGTCGGGAGGAAGCACCTGGAAGTGCTCCCTCAACCATGGCATCCTTAGAGATGACCCCTGAAGGTCAGTCCTAAGAACGAGGCGGATACCTAACAAACGCTCACACTCATCCATCCACTGTCGACAAGCAGTGCCTGTAACAGCTCTCCCATGAACCTCTAACCCGGTAAGTACAACAACATCTCCCAATGTCACTGTCACCTCTCCAACAGGGAGGTGAAATGAGTGTGTCTCCTGCCTCCAACGCTCAAGTAGAGCAGTGAGAAGCGCTCTATCTAGAGGCACAGTAGCCACTAATCTGTGAAGAGTATAAAAACCTGCAACACCAACATAGGCTAGTACTCTGTCGTCGACGTGCAAATGCGACAAACCCCGCAGGTGCTCGCGGCACCTATCCACCTGAACATCCATGCCAAGCCAAACATCCTCACTCCTGTGCGAGGCCTGCAATGTCAGGACTGAACGATCACTCGGCCCAGGATCCGCTGTCACCTCCATGCCTCCAAACAAACAAAAATTGTATTAGTTCTTATTCCATAATATATTAATTTTTTTTAACATCCCTTTTTGAAATTATTATTTTTTCTTGCAATGAAAACATTAATTGTAATTGACTCTAAATAGAACCTTACCCAGCGGACCCCCCTCGTGTTTAGACGATCTCTTCGCACATGTGGCTCTATTATGGCCGGTTTGGTGGCATTTTCCACATCTAACCGTTCCTCGTGGATCTTCATCCATCTCATTCTTAATACGTGTCGACTTTGGTCTTCCTTTAGCCCGAAGCATGGATGGATCGTGCACGTTTTCGGGTCCATTGTAAGTAGGCCAATAATCACGATCAGGAATCGGTTTGAAGACTCTATGATAAGTGGCGGCGTATTGGTCAGATGAGAAAAAATTATCCACAAATGGAGCATAAGACAAACTACGTTGTCTACACACGGCTAACACATGGGAGCATGGAATCTTATATATCTCCATCTTTTTACAAGTGCAAGTTTTCCGTTGTAGATGGACAGTTTGTTTTCTCCCACCCTTTCCCAACGTTCGACCACCACAACCGGTTTCCACCTGAAATATACCTCGGCCTAAATCAAATGGATTCCTCAATGTATATCTCAAGCGTCGACATATCCTCCATCTGAGTTATGCCCCACATATTTGTTATAGCTAGCTCATCAATGAGGGGCATAAGCATGTACTTTCCCCCGTTCATGGGAAATTTCATTTTCAAGCGCAAAGAACGACTAGGATGAATCATTGTGGCTGCATGTATTTTTTGAAGGATCTCCAGCATGCATGCGCCACGAGAAACCATTACAAAGTTGGTTCTACCACCTTGAATGCATATTTGCCCAGCATCCTCATAATAGTTCCCTCCCCAATGACATATTATTGGGAAGCTTGAGAAATCCATATTCTAATAACAATACATGTCCAACTTTCATGAGTACACATTAATATACACACTTTATACACATTCAAATTTTCAATAGAAAAAACTACCTACATTGTAATATACCCAAATGACAAAATGCACAATCAATTCACATTTCAATATCAAAATACCCAAATGTTGATATCTACATTCAAGTCTACATTTCAATACCCAAATCTAACAACATTCAAATCTACCCAAATCTCAAAATACACAATTAAATTTATGAACAATTTCATATCAAAATTCAACAGTTCATACATATTCACATTACACAACAAATCAATTCACAAATGAATTCCTAATTTACAAAATCGAATTTTCAATATTCAAAACCCTAACATGAAAAATGAGATAAATTGGAGAGATTTACTTACCTAGAGTGTTGAAGAAGATGGAGATGAAAGATTATTGGCAAGATGGAAAAGACCTCGCCGTCACCGGAGCTCGAGATTCACCGGAGATGGAGCTGCACCCGTCGCCTTTATCGCTTGCCTTCAGTTCGCCAGAGGTTGGTTTTTTATTTCTTCTGCGTTCTGTTCTGTGGCTTGGCCTTACCCGATAATTTTACTTAAGGGTAAGTCACCCAACGGTTGGGCGACTTATAAGTCGTCCAACGGTTTGGCGACTTACCCCGACCATGGTTAATCGGGCAGTATATTGGTAAATAGTTTTGACCCAACCCTATTTTCATAATTATTTAATTAATTAACATTAATACGGAAAAAATCTCAGCAAAAAGGAGTCACCTCATCAAATGATAATATGGGTCCCACTCAAAATGTAAATCTTAGTTTATATTTAAAGTGTTTTAACTTTTATATTTATACTTTAATTTTTATAAAAAATATATTAAAACTCTTAACTTTTTAAGACCATTCATATGACATCAATATCACATATATAAAGTAAAATGAAAAAAGTTGAAGTTTCAATTGATGAAAGATTTCAGATCTAAAATTTTTCCTAAATGGATTCAGGTACCAAAGTTAAGATTTCACAATTAAATTAATTTTTCATCTTTCAAATACTTTTATTTTAAAATAGCTCTGAAGTAAAAAAAAAAAAAAACAAAGCTTCAAATTTATTTACAAAAAAAACGGAAAGAAATTATGTATAATAATAAATGTAAGATTTTAATTAAAAAAACTTTACCAAGTGAATATATTGATGGTGTTGAGTTAGAGTAAAAGTAAAGATTTATACATTTAAATTTTAAAAAAAATGTGTTGGGTGAATATATTGACGGTGCTGGGTTGTAGAGAAGAATGCTTTGACTGAGTGAATACGTATAAAGAGCTGTGAAATTTGATTTATTGACGGGATAGGGTTGCGGGCAGCCTAAGCGGCGATTGATTCGCACCAGTGAATATACGACGATTATGAAGTGTGCTTGATCTGGAGGAGTTGTTAGAATGTGATTCCAAACAAGGCTCCGGTTCAATAAATTAGGAGACCCGTCACGAAAAATAAGCCTTATATTAAATCAACACAATACCAAAAATCAACCTTAAGATCAACACAATACCAAAAAAAACTACAAACAAATGTGAGATTAAGAAATGATCACTTTTTCGAACTTGAAGAAATAAAATTAGTAACAAAATCTAAAATCATAAATGAACGAATGAAAATAGAATAAGAAAAAGTGATTTTTTTACCTTTGGTTGGATAACCTGAATAGTTGGATCATTTAGGCAAATAAAGTAATGAATTGTTTTCAAAAATAACTACCCTATATATATACACTATATAGATTATACAAAAAAATGGGCCTTATATTTTTGGAGGCCATGTGCAAATGCACACTTTGCACGCCCTCATCTAATTCCAAACTATGGAGTATATGCTTCGATCATTGTGTAGGCTAAGTTTTTACAGATCATAATTTAATGCTATTTCAAACTTATTATTTGTTTTATAGTTGAGGTTGTTTATTGTTAAAAGTTGAAATTCAAAGAAATTGTTGATGATGATATTGCATTATTATGCCCTTTGACGAGCATGCGCTTATGCTTCATTCCAAATTGATTATACCGGCACTAGCTACTTCATATCTAATGGCCGGGAACTTAAATGATCTTTTTCATAAGATTTTGTTGTCATATAATCAAAGGGAAATTTGTAATTTTAATCTTGTAACTTTTGGTTTTTATCGTTATTGGTCTTGTAAATTTAATCACTTACAAATTTGATCCTGTAGTTAATAAATATTTGCAATTTAAGGATTTTCCACCACAAAATACACTTTCCGGCAGAAAAATCCGACATCGGCGCCGGTATACTATCACCGGAAAGTGTATTTTTCAGGGGATCAAAAATATTAATTAGTTACATGATTAAATTTACAAGTGAGTAAAGTTGCGAGACTAATAATGAAAATGACCGAAAGTTATGGGACGAAAATTGCAAATTTCCCTATAATCAGATTTACGAACTTTAAATTATTATTAGTTTAATACTACCTCCATCCTGATGGACTTTGTCAAGTTCAAAGTAGATGAGAAATAAGAAAAGTAAAAAATGTGTGATTGAGATTCATGCAGAAGAGAAAGAATTGAAAAGAACCACAAATTAGTTGTTTTCATTGGAAGTGAAAAAAAATTTTGGGACAACTAAAAAGGACAGTTGACAAAGTCTAATGGTCGGAGGAAGTAATTTTTATGCATGTGATAAGACTTTCACCTTTTTAATTTTTAAATATTATAGGTTTGTGATTGTTATTGAACGTTAGTGATGTAAGAATAATATAAAAAGTAATACTGTTATGGAGAATTCTTATACTCCGTAGTATATATTTTGAAATCATTTTTAACAAGCATGATCTTTATTCGTTAATATTGATTGTTTTACATTTCATTTGTTTGATATATCATATATTAGGAGCTGGTCGTAAATTCATGCCTATTTTTGGTCTTTCGGGTCGCTTATCCAGGGATACGTAATCCCAAAAATTTACAGAATTGGCAGAGAATGACTTGAAAGGCCAAAAGCTGCAAAAAAATCCATAAAAGTGCATTACAAATTTAGAAGTTGGAGGAATATCAGCACTGAGGACCAAAGCAAAAATGACATAATAGTGAAAAGGCCAACAGTTAATCATTTTCAAAGAAAAATTGCCAAATCCATCATTCACCATATAATTGGCATTCATAGACACCTGATGATTGATGAATGATGATGCCTGGTAGAACTGTGGAATGGAAAAGAGTTTAGGTTCATGTATGGGACACTGCAGGACCAAGAAAGGTACCAAGTGCGATCACGAGTGCGTACTAGAAAGAATTGCGGGTGCATTCCTTGTCAATAGCATAACCAACAGGAAAACCTATGAGAATTTCCAAAGGTGGCTCCAATGCAAGAACTTAGAGACCATACAGGAAACATGATAGCTGGAAACAAGTCAGACCGAACCACCTACGAGCAGTCTCGGCCCTCGAGGGAGGGTGGTCAAGCTTAGCTGAAAAGGAAGGGCTCTTGTTTCTCGAGACATCGGCTCTGGAAGCACATAATGTAGAAAAAGGTTTTCCAAACCATTTCGTTAGAAACTTATCACATAATCAGCAAGAAGGCATTAGATGCAGATGAAGCATTAAAAATAGCTACTGCAGTTCTAACTAAAGCCACCACTCCTCTGAGAATGTAAGAGAGGCTAATGTTCAACCTGAGTGACTTGAATGAATTGGTGTTCGGGAGGGAAATATGGGTTATTTTGGCAAGCTTGCAAGTTATAGCTTTGTTTTTTGGGTGGTGGATCCTCAGTCATTCATTTTTCTTCTCATGGAACAAGAGAGGTTAGTTTGTAGAATACTTTTTCTATTAAATTGTTGCAAGAGAAGTGGTGGATGCTTATTGATTACTAGGTTTGGAAGATTTTCTCATCCTGAAATATCAACTCTTTTGTTAGATAAGTGGACTAATAGTGGCCTTGGCAGTTTATATGGCAAGGAACAAAATGTGGCAATTTTAGTTTAATTGATTTGCAGAGGTTGCTTATATTTTTCATTACAAGTCTTACCTTTTTATGAGCCTGTGATACTCCTAATGTGAGATATCATCTTATATTTTAGCCTTTCTTTTTTTATTTGGATACTTCTAGAGCTTCCAGGTTGGGTGAATTATTGTGGTAACCATATGAATTTGTTATTATTTTAACGTCTACTGTTCAGAATATATGCTTTAACACATACTTTATGTCAATTCCTTTCATTCTGATTTGTGATTTCATTTAGTTAATTTTTATTAGAACATTAATTTATGTCATCTCATTATCATTTCATTAATGTATACTTGTACATCTTGAAGTTATGAACACAAAACATCACCTAACGATACCTAAGAAAAAGGTTCTATCTCTATGTTAGTATGACGGATATCAAATGTTCTTTGAAGAAACTCTCTAACCCTATGAATCAATTCAATAGGATTCACTTCGGGCTCAACCACGACATGACATGAACAAACACTTCTCCCAACTGTGATGGACCAAACATGCAGGTCATGAACATCATGCACTCCCCTTATGCCTTCCAGCCCGTTCTTCACAAGGGTAATATCAACATCCTTAGGCGTCCTCTCCATTAAGATTGTGAATATTTCTCTGAGCATTGGTCCAGTGGCCTTCAGAGCAACAACCGAGAAAACAAGCGTGCAAATCGGGTCAACGAGAAACCACTTTGGCTTCCACCACATCACAGCTCCACTAATCATCACCCCAGCAGATTGTATCAAATCAACAATGGCATGCAAGTAAGCCCCTTCAACATTTATGTTTGAAGTCTCCTTTTGTCTACACGATGGAGATGGCATCACTACCATACTGCTCTCTGGAAAAAGTTCTTCCAGTTCATGATTTTGCTCTTCTAGAGTATCAGAATGATGATGGTGGTGGTGGTGGTGGTGATGATGTGAATGTGAATGGTCATGCCCAAGCCACAAAACCAAGACTAAGTTAATTATAAAACCAAAAGCAGCCGTTTCGAACATGATAATCCCATTGACTTCAACATTTTTGTGGAGAAATTTCTCAACTGCTTGGTATATCAAGGTCCCAGAAATGGCCCATATTAATTGTATAGATACAAGGGCACCTAAGACTTCCAGCCGGTGGAATCCATAGGAGTATTCAGAAGTGACCTCCCATCCAGAAACCCAAACTGTTAAAAGGGAGATGCAGATTCCCGCAATGTCAATTAGTAAGTGACCTGCATCGGTTAAAACAGCAAGGCTGTTTGCCTTTATGCCTCCAGCGATCTCCACAACCATGGCTGCTGCATAAAAGATTATGAGCCCACACAGCTTAGTGGTGGACTTTGACCGATTTCTTGAATCTGCCACTTTGTGTTCTTGTTGCGAGAACGGACAAATGGTACTGCAAGAAAACTTCTGCTGCATTGGGATGACATCAACCATCTCAGCTTCATGTTGTCGCAATGCTCTAGACTCAGAATCCTCCAGGTGTTGCTCCATCTGCATTGATTAAAATGATTACTATAAGTAAGTTTGCTAGTTGCAGCACAAACTCATACTCATGCTGTCATTTTAAGGAAAAAACTGTGACTTTTAGGGAAATCATTATTTTTTCGGAAATTGACCAATATAACCTTTTTATATCCATATATAGAATATTACAAGCAAAAGTGAAATATTAGAGGATATTCTAGTCATTCTACGAAGTTTATTGAATTGTTATATCACTTGTCCTAAGCACCCCAACAACATGAAAACTGGAATATCATAGCATTTGTATTCGTATTTGAAAACTATTCGAATAAAAAACATATTTGTATTCGAATTCTACTTACTCGAATTTGAATCACGAATCAAATTAAAATGGACATGCCAGATGACGAGTTGTGAGCTCGGCCGCCCACAGAGACATTTCAACGTGATGACTTGAGCACATCACATAGAACAAACTGTTGAGTATCCTCCATCCAATTAGTTGTACCAAAAAAAAGCATTACCACTCTCTCATACAAAATTAAAGTAAAGAGCTTAAAGCCAATAAAGACTAGGGAGAACAAAATGTTGAGTATCCTCCACTCCATTAATATCATCTATAACAAGTTTTTTCAAAAGGTGTGTAGGCTTTGTTTGGGAACCTTCAATTTTAATTAGGAAATGATATGTTTTTTTCTTTTTCCAAAATCAACTTTTTCTCATAGGTTCTTATAACTGGAAAATTTTGTACTTTATGTCTATTTTTAATACTTTTAAAAAAAAATTAGAGCCTATTTAGTGAGCCCTATTTTCGTCTTAATTAGGAACTGATATGTTTTTTCTCATATAAGTAAGGTTGGAGTTGCTTTTCTTCTTGAATTAACATAAAGGACTAGTTTAGCTATTTTCATACGATTTTTGTTTAATTTATTAAAAAAAAATTAAATATATGTTTTCCATAATTCAACATACTCGGCCAATTCAGCTAGAACTAGTCAATTTCATAAATTTCAGATGAATTAGTCGATTCAACCAATTTCAATGCAATGTTACCAAACGGGCTCTTAAACCTCTTATTAAATTAAAACAGCTCTTTTTTATAGGTTCTTCTACCATTTTAATTAGATTTTCTAAATTACCAGACAAAAATCGACTTTAGTTATAATACGTAATTATGAGAATAATAATCTGATTGTTCATATAATCAATAAATAAAATAATCTTACTACCAAACAAGCTCTTAATTATTCACAGGAACATTTAAATAAAAGATTCTTAATATCGTAATCAATAAAAAACCAAAAAGACAAATGAATCTGCTGCAGTAAAGCTATGAAATTACATTTAGAATCTCAGAGTTGTTAGCATTTATAAAATGGACCTAAAATAAAAATAAAAAAAACATTTTTTTAAGCGTCCGTCGGAAAACCAATCTTCATGATATCCTTCTTCGAAACAAAAAAAAAAACATAAATACCCATACAATTAAGAATTGAGAATTGAAATATTCCATTTCTAATATGAAAATTTGATAAGATGACAAGAAAAGGGTACAAACAAACGATTAATATGAAGAAATTTACCTGGGAATGACGGGCAGAAGGAAATGCAGATGATAGGCCGGAGGAAGGCCGGAGGTTAGGTCTCCCAACGGCGGGCGTCGAAGAACATTTGTGTATATATATTTAGAATTTTTACAGAGCCAACCTTTGCACTGCTAAGAAGAGCATCCAATCCCGGAAAATAGTCAAATACATATGGCTATTACCACCCGAGGAATAGCATGAATATGTCACACATATTGTGTGATGGGGTTTGATTTGTTCATCCAAAATAGCACTATATTCAGTTAGCTGCATTTGTGGGATTCTTGGTTTGGCATTTTGGCCTGATTTGTTTAAAATTATTTTGATTAAATATTTTGATAATTACAAAATACACATATACTCCGTAATAGACATATATATCATGAGGTCATAACCGTTCACACCAAATATCCTCTAATATTACTAAATTACAGTTCGTGGGTAGAAATACAATTAAAAAAAAATGAGATGTATTACGAGTCGGTTTGGTGACTATATTTTTCGGCTTATCAGGCCTATCAGCTAACTTTTTAACCAAATATGTAATTTAGTTAATTATATGTATTCCTTTATACAGAATTTTATCATTTCAGGACCCGAAAATTGTGGAATACATAGTGGAGTATACTGTAAGTACTGTACACACATTTATATAATTCATTTGGTAACACCAAAATTTGTTATATCAATTGAATATGTTGAAATTTGTGTAGTTGTGATTGTAATTACTAAATAAAAACTATATTAAAAGATAGCTAAAATATCTATCTTTCGTCACGTCAATTACAGATGTTACTCCAATATTACTTATGTTGATTGTAACATAAGTCAGGGGGCAAAGTCAAATATTTTGTGTTTGAGATGTCTCTAAAATTTCATTTTCGTTTCTTTTAAAAGGAATAATTGCTTGATTGACATTTGCATCCTTTACTCAATCAATAACAACTAAGAAATTTCATTTCTTATGGAGCGTGTAAACTCAAAATATATGAAATAGTGGTGCAACAAGAGAGACCGTGAGGCCGGTACCCCCACCCCCACTAAAACTGCACACATACATATAAGTAAAAGAGAAATATTCAGGTCAGGTATACCTGACCACTGCCCCCGTCCGGCCTCATCCATTTGGGGGTCTTCCTGATGGTATTTTTTGCTCAAATTTTTTTTGTAGGTTCCTCATTAAGTCTAGTTCATCCATACCAAATTTCAGCCAAAAATTCAATCGGGAAGGTCGTCAAATGATTTTTCCAAGTTAACTGGTCCGGAATATGTATTTTCCGGACCAGTTAACTTGCAAAAATCATTTGACGACCTTCCCGATTGAATTTTTGGCTGAAATTTGGTATGGATAAACTAGACTTGATGAGAAACATACACAAAAAATTTGAGCAAAAAATACCACCGGGAAGGCCCCCAAAAGGAGGAGGCCGGACGGCGGCTCCGGTCAGGTATACCTGACCGGAAGATTACTCATAAGTAAAAATACTTATAGTTTAAAAAATAGGGAGTACTTTAATATGAACTTCAGCCCCCTTAGAAAATACTTATAGCTTAAAAAATAGGGAGTACTTTAATATGAACTTCAGCCCCCTTAGAGCAACCGCAATGCACTAATGTCTAGTGCAGGAATAGTGCTCCACATCAATGATTTAGACACTCTCGGTTTGTTTTTTATTCCAATGAAGGGAGTTTTACGTTTTCTCTTGATGAGCTGGCAATATTTTCTTACACACTGTGCAAAGCCAAGTCTAAGAGCCCGTTTGGTAGCACCAAAACCGGCTGTTTTGGCTGATTCTGCTGAAATTTATGATATTCTGGCTGGAGTGGCTGTTTTGGCTGATTCTGCTGATTTAAGAAAAAAATATTTTAAAAATATATTTTATTAATAAATTAAAGAAAAAATTATATGTAAAAATAGCTAAAATGGTCCTCTACAGTAACTTCAGCCAATACAGCCAGAAAAGTAACTCCAACCTTACTTTTTCGGCTTATTACACAATTCAGCGCGCGAAAGTAAAAGTTACGTGTTTGGTGAAAAAGCTGGCTGATAAGCCTGATAAGCCGAAAACAGAGTTCTCCAAACGGGCTCTAAGTGTAGAAAGTCCATAAGACTTGCCGTGTGGCATAAAATTCATCTAGAAAAGTTGTGGGTCTTTGAAAAATTATAGGGAAACATCAAATTAATTACTGCCGATTACCACACCCACTCAAATTAAGCCACATGGATAATTAACTTGACTCTAGACGGTATGCGTTGGGGGATTTTTAATAACTAAAAGTCTCCCTAGTCCACCTTGCATCATGTAGATTAGAAATCCATTTAATTAATTGACAAATGGCATATTTCACATGCACCAGACAAAGCCGCAATGCGGATGCTCTTAAGCCGCTTACTTCTAAGAATATTTTTAATTGAAATTAATTTTTTTGTCTGATCCAAATTGGTATAGTCTAGTCTAAAGTGGTATATGTATAATTTATAAATGGTCTTATCTGGTTTATTTATATCTAACCAAGTATAATTTGTGACTGAAATTGGTCTAATTAAAAACATCTTAAGTTTAAGACCCCACCTCCGAGAAGCACAACATTTAAGATACTAAAAAAGGAGCATTATGGTGTTTCAAGATATGATTATAATTTGACTAAAAACTCAATTCAAATATTAAGGCTTTGTTTGCAAGTGATTGTGCTCAAATAAAAGCACTTTTTGGGAAAAAGTGATTAGTAGTAAAAGTTGATAGTGTTTGGTAAAAATAAGTGTTTTTTGTGTAATAGAAAAAGTAAAAAGTAGATTCTACACAAAAATCGAGAAAGTAAAAGTTGGTATTTAAAATAAGTGTTTTTTCTTAAAAAAAAGGAAGAAGCCAAAAGCACTTAAATTAATTGTTTGCAAACAAAGCCTAACTCTATCTCTCGAAAAAATGTCTAAAGACAATTGCATACTAATCTACTAAAAATGTAAAGTGCCAGTGATGGTTAGCATGACCCTTTTACCGTTGCTACAGCTCCAAATAGTTCACGGTGTTTGCCATCCTCCAGCTAGAAGTAAGCTACGATGTTTTTCTCAATTCATTCTCCATTCTTTAATTTTCACAACTCGTGCTTCTCATTTTTGCTTGCTAGGGTTCCGAAGTCTTCTTCCAGAGTCACTATCTTCCGGTCATCCACCAATTCGCCATGTTTTCTCGCTCTAGGAGTTCGGAAGTCGGGCTTCACTCTGAAGCTTATCCCGAACTTACCAGACCAATCCCGTAAACTTTCCGCCATCTCTTCCATTGACCCACCAGGTGAAAGTCATCAATAGCTCTAATAGCAGATGAGGAGTCAGATTCTACCTCAAAGTCTCGGTATCCATGGTTAACCACCCACAGAACCTCAAAGTCTAAGTAGCCGATTTCACCGAAATAGGAAAACAAAGTGCCATAACAAGGTCACCTTTCATCGAGCGAAGGATAGCACCTCCACTCGATCAATCTGAGTAAAATGATGCGTCCACATTCATCTTGAGATTAACAGGTAAAGGCCATTTCACAACTTGGATTCGATGATCATGGGATGTACGTAGTATAATTATAGATTTTGATTTTTTGTTCCTTTTGTAATTTTATTTACCCTGTTTTGTTTCTGTTAGACCCTAGATTTTGATGAACTGTTTTTGATGATGCCAAAAGCTTTTGTTACCCCCTCCCCCCCTCTATTGTAGCATTATTATAAGAGTCTTTGTTATCCTCTGTTGTAGCATCTTGCAGTTGTCTAGTCTAAGAAAATTATCTAGATGTGTCGTGCTCCTTTTTATAGTTAACAAATAAATGTGACTGGAAAACCATAAATGCAGTAAGGCAATATTGAATTGCCTTAAAAGGATATCGTATAAATCCAACCAGTTATATTTATTTGTTACCCACAATAACATCTCGTACAAATGAACTATCTATTTTAACTGGAAAACAAAATGCAATAAGGTAATTTTACCTTAATAGGAGTTGATATCCTACCAGTTAAATATTCAGTTTATCATGTTCGAAATACTAGATAAACCATACACTCAGAAGAAGAGTTCTTGATATTCTGTTCACTACAACAAATAACAATGTAAATTCTATATAACAAATAGAACACACTGGGATTCAAAATGAAATAAGGTAAAGTTGTCTTTATCTTAAAATTGGATATTTAAATCCAACCAGTAAAGTGTTATTTGATATACAGATAAATCAAAGTGAACAAGAATATTGGTTAACTAACTGGAAAACAAAATACAATAAGGTAATGATTTTTATCTTAAAAAGGATTTAGTATCCTACCAGTTAAGTTAACAAAATACCTACTTAAAAGTGACAAGAATTCCAATGTACAAACTATGTATCAGATTAAACATACTGGAACTATAAAATGCAATAAGGTAAAAATTATTACCTTACATGGATATTTAGATCCAACCAGTATAGTTTTAATTCGGTACATAAGTTTAATTATGTCACTCAAAGAAAGAAAGTGATTAGTAAAATAAGTGACAATTTTTACTGTGAAATTTGTACCAAATAAATTATACTGGAAAGAAACAAAATGCAATAAGGTAATCTTATTACCTTAATAGGATATTTCAAGATCCTACCAGTACAAAATTTATTTGATACAAAACATTCTAAGTCACACATTTTACTACTTCACTACTTGAAAAGGTTCGCGCACTCAGCTTCACAAGTGTAGTTGCAAGACAAGGCCAATACACTCAGAATGCAAGATCAGAGGAGACATCAGAATGGGTGAATAGTGAAGAAGTTTCAGAATAGGCATGCAGCGATAAGAAGGCCTAAGGTATGGGTGTTATCTTCGTACAAAGCAAGTGGTCTTCAAAGACAAATCCTTATCCTGCTCCAACACAAGAAGACGCAAGTACAATACTTTAGACGTCTAGGATTAAATCCTCTTAACCAACGGAGGAGATTAATCTACTGGAGATGCCTATAAAAATAGGCAGAAACATGAGATCAAAGGCAAGTCATTGAGTTCAAAGCAAGTGGTTCAGTCATTACACTACGAATATTCAGCAAAAGAAAAAGTGCTTGAACACTCTGCTTTGACTCATGCTTCACTAAGCTCTTAGACTAGATCATTCATTGTAACATTTATAGAGCTTAGGTTTTAGTTGGAGGTTAGAAACTTCGTGAACCAATTCATGTTGTTGTAAACACTTAGGAGAACAGTTGTTCGGATCCTAAAGTGTGGTTAGATAGATAGAGTACATTTTGATCCCCACTGGATCATTTGAGAAAAGTCTAAAGACTGAGTAACTTTGAGTGGTGTTATACTCATCGTGAAAAACCTTCAATCTAGGCCTGAGTGTTGTAAAGGCTAGATTGGCACTAAGTGTATTGGGCTTAATACTTTAGTGGAAATCCATCTGAAATAGGGTGGGACTGGATGTAGGAGGATTACACCACCTCTGAACCAGAATACATGGTGTGTTGATTTACTTTCATACATACAGAGCACACACCAAACACATCTCACTAAAGGTTTGTAGTTTGCCAGCAGCATCCTAAGCAGTAGCCTTCATCGACTCTACTGCTTAGCCTACTGCTTAATAACTCACTTTCCTTGAGAGTGTTTTCCACTAGAAGTTGTCTCAAACTCAGAAGGTGCCTCAGCAGTACCCTGGTCTTCACCCTCCTGCCGAGCCCACTGCCCATCCATACTTATCTTTCCTAACTCCATAACAAGCCAGAACAAAAAGCCATCCAAGAGTCATCTTATTCTTAACAGTTGCCTCAGCAGTAACCTGCCTACCAGCCAACTGCCAACTCAGCAGTTGCCTGCCAGCCAACTGCCTGTGCAGCAGTAGCCTAAGCAGTTACCTGCTCACCAGTCAACTGCCAAGCCTACTTCCTCTCATAACCAGTCTAAACGTCATCTACACTAGAAAGTTATCTCACACTAAGTATAAAGAGGTTAAAGACTTCCGCTGTGCATCTATTAATCTCCCAAAAGATTATAGATCAACTCACCTAGAGGGGAAGTGTTCTTAAAATTGAAAAAGCTTTAAAAGTCTATTCACCCCCCTCTAGACTTTTACCTCTATCCGGGACCATCAGTTTCCTTGTGATTTCTTTCTTGTATTGGGTGCCTTTCTTCTGCATATAAAACATCTGTCATCGTCTCTTCTTCTCCACCTGTAAGCTTTTACAGAATCATCATATCACTCATTTCTCCTCCCACTTCGAGATATTTATGTAACACTCAAAACACCAATAATTACTTCAAAACGAGTTTTCCCACAATACTTTTCTTTCAACCAGAGACGGCCCTTCACAGTTTTAGCATAGAATTGGATGAATATCAAATAAGAAGTTATGGTGGGAGTAGTTAAACTCAATAATTCTTCATCTTTTTTTTAAAGAACGTGTTAAAGATCAGGTTTTTCTGTATAACTATTTGTAGCTGATTATTTGATTAGTGATTAAACTTTCGAGGTCCAGAACTCTGATTTTTTTAGGTATAAGCTGTTCTTCTATCGATAAGTGATATGACTCGGTAAATATTGACTTTTGCAGCTTTGACAATGTCCAATGTTGAGTAAAAAGTTTGATTTGGTGGATAGAAGTCTAGACAGAGGACAACGAGTGATTATCACTACACTAAGTGACATGTCACTAAGTGTATTGAAGCATATCAGTGCATAAAAGAGATGTTTGGTTAATAATTGAAAAATAGAGCATGCCATTTTTTGTTTATTCATTGAGTAAGGAATATATTAAATCGATTAGATAACTTGTTGATTAGTTTTTTCGTTGTATAATGCAGTGGTTTAGTAGCATAAATTGAAGTTCGTCGTTGAAGTAGAAGAAGCCGATTTGATAAGAAGCTGCAACTACTCCATTATGAAAGTTGCAAGAACAAGGTGAAGAATTAAAGACGGTTTTGATATTCATTTGGGTGTTTTGCATAACATTTTGATGAAAGGCAATTGGTTCAGTTATATTTGAAGCCTTTTTTTAAGTACCTCTCTTCCCTTCATAATTCAATCACTCAAAATTAAAAGTGCAGTAATTACACTTTAGGTCACTTTAGACAATCTGGTCCATTGCTACTCATTTGTAAAGGTATACTTTTAATTGATTTCAATGGGAGCTATTTGGTTAACTATTGAAAATTAAAACATTGCATACCATTTTTTGTTTATTGATTGAGTTAGGAACATATTGAATTGATTAAATAATTTGCTGATTCGTTTTGTCATTGTGTAATGCAGGGGCTTAGTAGCATAAAATTGAAGTTCGACGTTCAAGTAGAAGAAGGTGATTTGATAAGAAGCTAGAACTGCTCTATTATGAATTTTGGAAGAATAGTGGGTTACAAGTTAAAGACTCAGAGATTCTTCTTCAAGGTATTGAGGAAATTGATTCAAGTTCTGTAGTCTGTACATATTTTTACAGTCATATTACATGAACCATTCTCACATGCCATCTTATTCAAAGTTAGAGTTGTGTGTTTGACTGTATTAAAGAATGGAGTGCTAGCTATTCTTGTATTTTTTTTTGCCGCAAGGAGATTGTGAAAGTTCTGTATAACAGTTTTGGCTATTATGTGCAGTTCTTACCAACGTGAGTTCTCTCATATCCATAACATTTATTCAATAGACATGTTTTCAGATTGAGAAAAAACTCATTATGGCTATTATGTGCAATTCATACCAATGTGAGTTCTCTCATATAGTCATATCCATAATGTTTTAACTAAGGAAAGAAAAGATAACACATTCAGGTGTACTTTAAGACAAACAGAGTTGGAGAACATTTATAAAGATCTATGTGTGCAAAGTCTATATGAATAGAATGGTTTCCCAAATTACACTAAATTGTTATTTTCCACAACTGTAATCAATCATCCCTTACCACCGACATTTATGTTTTTCTCTTTTCTGCCTCAAGTACAAGGCTAAGCTATAATTTATATCACAGTGGTATAATACCTTAGCTCTTAGTATGAAAGATCACTTTCAGATACAAATTTTAGCATACAATGCATGTTTGCATTTTTTGCTCTCTCATTCTCTCAGATGTCTCATTCATCTCTCTTCATAATATTTATCAATTATCATTAATATGGAGTACTTGATATAGCTGAAGCTTTCACATTGTCCACCAATACAAGTCAATGAGAGGAAATTGAATTATAAGAGATTAAAATTTCCTTCTTCTAGGCATCAATTCGTGCAGTTTTCTCGCAAGGACATTCTTTTGGGCTACATTATCATCTTAACAAGCTAAGATTCTGTTTTCATGTTTTTCTTTCTAATGTTTAGTTTTGACATTTGTGAAAATTCCATTCTGATACTTGGAAGTTCTTATCTTCTCCCTCTCTTGCTTCATCAGAATTTGTTTTCCATTCTTGCAATTCCATCATAGAAAAACAGTGGCTTCATTTATGCCTAGATTTTTTGCTCTTTCGAGAAGATTAGGATCTCGGTATGCTCATATTTACTTGTAGAAGGGATTTTACCTCTTTCATTCCCTACAACTTTTAGGCTGTGACATGTTGCTGATTTGCTCAGATCTGTGATCGGGTCACCATAGCTAGGCTTTTGAATGCGACCCTCGTAATCCCAGAGATCCAAGTTAGTACTCAGTCAAAAGGCATCAGGTTCGTTTTGACTTGATACTTTGATAATTGATACAGATATGATTAACTTGTTTTTGGTTGTTCACTTAGTCTTACTTTATAATTGAAAATTTTGCAGTTCAAAATGTAGTAGTTTTTCATATCTGTATGATGAGGAAATGTTCATAACAAGCTTGAGAAATGACGTGATCCTCGTGAAGGATCTACCACCAACCTTAAAGAACGCAAAGAAAAGGAAAGGATTTCCAACTTTTAAACCTAGAATTACTACTACTCCTGCCTTTTATATCTCTGAAATTATTCTACATTTGAGGAAAACGAAGGCTGCTGGGTTAATTTTGTCAGATGGAGGAAGCTTGCAGGTAGTTCCACCCATTTTCCACTGTCTTTCTGATTTAGACCCTCTATACATGTAACAAATGTTTAGAATACAAGCATCTACTGTGCTGATGTGTATTTCTTTCCATTCTTACGGTCCTAAATTCATATTAGCGTTGGTATTCCTCCCCCCTCCCCCCTAAACCTTGTGGGGTTAGGGTTTAAACCTTTCAAGGCATTTTCCATGGGTTTCATACCTGACTTTTCAGCCCACTCTGATGTACCATTTCTATTCATTTTTTTTACTATGAAGCTCCGTACTGAAATCCAATCTCTCGGCTCGCTAATGGTGGAGAGGTGAGATGTGATATATAAGACTAGGTTTATGTATCTGAATTGGTTGCTGATAAGGATTGTGGGTATTCTACTTGACTTTGTTTGTTGATTCAACATATGTTGCTCAGAGATCTACATGACTTACATCTATACCTTCTCCCCATGTTATTTATTTGAGTGAATGTTTTAGTATTAGTATATCGAGCATTGTACGGTTATTAGTCGATGTTGAATTTTAGTCACCAAAGTCGTCTACCACGTGCGCGGTCTAATATCTCCCATGTGACATACTTTGTTGTCCTTGAATTTTATCCAAACTTACACCTGTAAGCAATTTTAAATTCTCTTGCTGCTTCATTTAGCTGTTTCTTCCTGAAAAGATTATTTTTTCTTCTTTTGCTAAATTTTATATGAATTAGTGATTTCAGTACATATGTGAATTAGTGATTTCAGTACATGTGTTCCTGTTAAAGTTAAATGGCAAAATTCTGTTATATAATTTATGCATTTATGAGCAAAGCGCCCCTTTTGCTGGAAAAGAGAATGAAGTGTACATATGTTCAAGTTAAGTTCTACCACTGGATTTTCTTCTTTGAAGGGAGGTTTTGACTTGTTTTCGTGGAAATCATTTTAGATAGACTTGCTCTTTCATGAAAGATAAAACAGCTCTGCTTTATTGTTTAAATTATATACTAATTTACTTATTTATTTTTCGCTTGCAGGCCAATGTTAATGAACCATCTGATGGTATTGAGGGCGATTGTGAGAGTTCAAGGGATGAAGTTTCATCTATTTCTTCATACAGTACTATGAAGAAAAATATACACACATCTATTTCTGCAGCCGTCATGTGCCAAAGGCCGCAGATGGTGGCGATAGAGGTACCAAAGGTGGAGGTAGGTTAGGTGGCAGCATCTACATCACTGGTAATAGGATGTAAGACTTTTTTTATGTTTTGTGTTTCTATTTTAAATGGAAAAAATTAATTGAAAAAGTTTTTATAGAGTATTTACTATGGCAGCTTGATATACCTCTGCATTTTACCACGTGTGATTAATTAAGGTGGTTTGTGTAGGTAGTTTTTAATTTGACTTCATAAAAAAGTTTTGTGGAGGCTATTTACCCATGCCAGCTTAATGTTCCTCGGCATTTCGTCAGCTATGCTTAGTTACCGGATTCATAGAGGAGGCTAATAATTCATATGACATCTTGATACCCCTCTATGTTTGTGTATACAATCCACAATGATAAAAGTCAGTTTCTACTTTTATTTAGTAAAAGGAGCCGCCTTTTACAGGTTCATTTTATCATCTATCATTCATGTGATTTATGTATACAATTACAATTTTTGTATTAGTTAAGAGTTTAACCAACAGGAGGCTAATAATCTATGGCAACTTGATACCCCTTTATGTTTTTGTATACAATACACGATGATAAAAATCAGCTTCTACTTTTATTTAGTAAAAGGAGCCGCTTTTCTGTTTCTAAGAATTACTTCACGAGATTTCTCTATGATCTAGGAGTGACAGAGGTGGTAGTATATTTTTTTTACGGATCTTAGGAGCCAGTTGTCCTTGATGCTTTTACAAAACCCTCTTGTAGAATCCACTCCTTCAATTCTCCTAAACAAATTAGTCAAAAACTGTTTATTTTGAATTTTAGCTAATCATATTTTGCCTACAGAAATTTTGACTTTTAGCTAACCAAAATCTACTTGGTAAAAGTAAAATTTCGGCTTCATGCTTGGAAAAGCCTTTTGGATTTTAAATGATAATAAATGGTGTTGTTGAATGCACCAAACTCACACAAAAAATCATAGTTGAATGTTTGACACGAGCTTCAAGCGTTATCTCGGCTTTTAGGTCCCCTGAATCTTTAATAGCAATGGAAAATAAATGTTGGAAGCTTGCACAAATTTATCAGTGGTTGAAAGAGCGGATACGAGTGATTGAACTAACTTGAGGTCAGCCTTATAACTTTGCCTACATATTTCATTTATCCTTTTAAAAAGCCTATACTTCGTAATTATGTTGGTTTCAATATTAAATGTTTGATTAGAACTTCAAAAGTTACCTCGCGCTTTCAGGTCCCCTGCTATTGTGATATTACACCCGATGAAAATTAAAGAATGGAAACTTGCTCAAAGGTATCAAGTGAAAGTGCATAGGCTAACTCAAGGTTAGGCTCAGAGTTTTCGTCTATTTAATACAGTATTTCCTATATCCTTTTACAAAGTCTTACTTATAAATATGTCGGTTTCAGTTTTGCCTGTGGTCAAACTTTCTTTTTTATTAGTTGCTTTAAGTTGATTTGGGAAATGAAATATTGTATGCGGGTTCTAACCCAATCATTGGGGAGTTCCTCTGCTGTTTGAAAAAATAAAATAGCAACCCTTCTGCCCATTCTTAATCCCCGAATATGCTAACAAACTCTTGCTCTGTTTTTTTAATTATTTTGTCACCCCCATTGTTGATGTTAGTGCAATCGTTGCAATCATTGAACAACTCTTTTCCTGTTTCGATTTGTTTTTAACCAATACAATTGTGTGCCTGCATGATTAAACTATCGTTTCCTCTGTTTTAAACTGTTTTTTCCCATTTTTTTCTTGTTTCCTATCGTTGGGCACGGATATCGCGCAACGCGCGTTCCCGCGCTAGTTGTATGATACGTATTACTACGTATAATTAAAAAATATGTACAATTAATTAAATTATTACCCATGACAGTAATTTAGTAATGTTGGAGGATATTCCCATTAACTAGTGTGTGAAAAAATACCACAAATTTTATGGATAACTAATTTACTAATCCAGGACACAATAACAATTGTTGTAATATTTTTTTTAAGGAATGGATTTAATTAGCATTAATCAAATCGTTCGTTAAAGCGGATACAATGAAAGAATGAGGAGAATAAAACAAATATTGTGAATCTGGCAACGAACAAGCCGCCCTAGCTAGCAAGTGAGCAGGCTTATTCGCTGACCGCTTTACATGACTAAAAGAAATGCTCGAATAGTAATTTGTCAAATCATTGATGTCTTCTCTCAGTAAACCCACCGCAGAATAGCTCGGTCCGTTTAAGATTTCTGATATCGCTCTTGCAGAATCTGATTCAACCTCGACCGATATACCTCCGAAGTCCTTGAGCCAGCTCAATGCTTCTCGAATGCCTACCAACTATGCCACCAACGGCGTTGAGCTCCCCGACCACTTTCTTGCTACACTTGCAATGAATTCGCCTCCGTGATCCCGGAGACACCAACCAAAGCCGTCCCTGTCCGCCCTGATAGCTGCGTCGACGTTTAGTTTCTAGACGCCTGGATCAGGTCTTCTACACGAAGCTCTGCTCATCCTACCAACCTGTTGTCTTCTTCCCTCAGTAGATCTCGCTTGCGCCTGCTTCCAGCCATCAACCAAAGCTCTGGCCCGGTTTATTACCTGTTGCAGCAACGAGCTCTTTCCCTCTCAAACACGCAGATTGCGTTCATTCCAAAGTGCCTAGCAGCCCCACATTAATACCTCCAAATTTTCTTGTTTCTTCCGCCAGAATTCGAAGTTAACCTGTTCAGAAAAAGGAATATTGTCCCCAGAAGACCACTGGCAGCAAAGATCCGTCCACATGTCTTGAGCAATAGTACATTGCCAAAAGATATGCTCCAGAGATTCCAAAGTTGCATCGCATAGTCCATATTGCCCCGGACAGTCCACTCTTCGAACCTGCAAATTTTTCCTCAAAGGAAGGCACCCGCTACAGACTTGCCAAAAAAGCATTTTAATTTTAGGTGGAAGTTTAACCTTCTACATATCGGTCCACTCCATACTCAACTGCCCACCATACTCCCCCACCATACTTCAGTAACAACTTCACACTGAAAAACTACCACTCTCCTCTCATCTCCAACATGACGAATCCTTAATCGGATTCCTACTTAGCGGTATTCCTCATATGATAGCCACATCTCTGGCTCCAAAAATGTCTGATATCACATCCAAGTCCCATTCCCGTTTATTAGTAGCAAATAAGTTAGCCACTACGGCCTCATCCAAGCCATCAACCTTCTCCGTTATGACCCTCAGGTTTCCCATGTCCGGTAGCCACGGTTCCTCCAAAATATTTATGAAGAGTCCACCCCCCACTCTCCAATAGTACCCTTCTCGAATGATATTCTGAGTATGAATCAGAATCTGCCAAATAAAAGACGGGTTACTCCCTGGTTTAGCTTTAAGAAAGACTTCTTTTGGGAAATATCTCGCTTTAAACACTCGACCCACCAAAGACTCGGGATTCATAAAGAATCTCCATGCTTGCTTTGACAACATAGCTAAATTAAAATCCCGGAGCCTTTTAAAACTCAATCCACCGGCAATTTTTGGAATGCAAAGAGAGGCCCAATCCTTCCAATGAATCCCTCTTCGTGTCTTGCCCTTCCACCAGTACACATTCATAATATTTTCAATTTTACGGCAAAGGTCAACAGGCAGAAGAAAAACATGCATAGAGTAAGTAGACATAGCCTGAATCATTGCTTTTAAGAGCACCTCCCTTCCCGCTTTAGATAAGAATTTATTATTCCAATTATTAGTATGCGTAATCACTCTCTGCCTGATATAACCTAAAATGTTATTCTTATTCCTCCCACCACGGCACGCAACCCCAGATATTTCTCATCCTCCCCTACCAACCCGACTCCAAAAAGTTCAATCAAACCCTCCTGATAATTGGCATCAACATTGGTACTAAAGAATACCTTTGATTTATTATAATTAATTATCTGTCCTGGAGCCTTTTCGTAATCAGCCAGAGTCTCCTTGATTAATGAAGCTTCATCATGAGATGCTCTGAAAAGAGTAAATTGTCGTCTGCAAAAAAAAACAAATGAGAAATCATAGGAGCCCCACGGGTAATAGAGACCCCATGCAAATGACCCATAGATTCATATTTACGAAGTAAGGCGCTGAGCCCTTCTGCCACGATCAATTTCTGCCACGATCAAGAACAGATAAGGAGATAAAGGGTCTTCCTGACAGATGTATTGGAAGTTGGTGAAAAATTCTCCTTCTGTGGGGAATATGGTTTTGACTCATTCAAAATTCAATCAAAATCTTTTAAATTTGCAGTGAAAAATAGAGATTTGGTCCTCTTGGAAATCAAAGGGTCTCTACTGTACAAGATTCACTTCAAACTTGAACTTGCTTCCCAAATCATCCGGTTCATCTCACAAATCAAAAATCCTGACCAGTCAAATTTTGAGAGTAAATAGTGATTTGGAGATATCACGATTTCCATGGAATTTAACAGAGTAGGGTGCTATGTGAAAATTGCTAAAAAAATAAAGGGGGCTCCATTCAGATACCCATGAGACCACATAACTCGAGCCTGCTTAAATTCCTTAACGTGTTTTCTAATTTTGTAGGGTTCTCAGAGACACAGCAAGACGACTCTGTCTCTCTTCAACACGGGAGCAAGTTAGAACCCGAGGAACCCACGTTCATCTCCAAACTGATTTTCCATTATCAAATCCAGGCAGTAGGTACTGAGAAACAACAGGTCTTCTCTTGTGAGAAACAACCTCACACTACAATAAAAGTGATTTGTAGAGGCATAACAAAATTGCCTCTAAAAATAGGAAAGTGGCCTCTAATGCTCTTTAGAGGCAACTTGGTGGTTGCCAACAAATACTCGGTCGCAAAATGATGGTTGCCTCTAAAAACTGTCTTTAGAGGCAAAAAACATTATGCTTCTAAAAGTTATATTTAGAAGCAATCATATCTCTTTGCCTCAAAAGGTCATTAGATGCACCATGTTATGTTGTCACAAAATGTTATTAGAAGCAACTACTTTTAATGACTCAAGATGTTATTAAAGGCACTATTATATTATTATATATCACCCCTAAAAATCATTCAATGCAATTTAATTTTTATCGTAATCAATAGACGCCCAATTCCATACTTCTTTAAATATTAAAAAATCTCTAATACTAACATAAAATATGACATAAATAGATGCTTTCCTTACATAACACAAAATATCAATATAAATTTTAATTTAATAACTGAATATCGTAGCTACATAAATAATCCGTTGAATCTAATCTACTGTAAAACCAAACTAACTAGAGCTGAAAGTTTAAGGACAGCACATGAGTTTGGAGAGATCATTCGTCATCATCTAATCATCATGCTACTCATCATCACCATCTTCTCTTTTGGATTGCTGTTATCTTGTTTTGCTCAGTGATTTCTTTCTCAATGCCTGCGATCATCTCATTGATTTACATTGTGATCTTCCAAGCACTGGAGTACCGACTTCAGCAGACAATTAGCTTCTTATTTGAATCAACCATTGATGAGGAGAAACCCTATGCTGCTACTTTTCTCTTGTTATTAGAATCTTTAGATTCTCATCCAGGATTGATATGCTCCTCCAGTCCATAAGTATATATTGCAAAGTCAGCAAGGGAGGCATCTGTGTTGCACCCCCAGGCCTCCATAAATCAACCTTTCTCCATGCCCCAACCACCTTTTCTGCCTTTCCTGCATAGCCTTATCAATCCTTTGGTCGATCCCATCAACAAAAAAACATTCTAGAATCAGCACAGGTGCTTCACTTGTTGGGATCATAGGAGAAATTATATCAGCAAGACAGCAAAGACCTTACCACACTGATAACACTTCAATATTTATCAAGTTTGAGTTTTATAAAAAATGTTATTGAATCGACCTGATAAAAGTTAAAGCACACTGATAAAACTCATAGATTAATTTAGTGAATATAAGTGAATGTTAGTCATTTACCATATTTCCTTAGCAACATTAGTCGCCGGAGTTTCATCACATATTCATGTTTAGTATGACTCCTCTTGTCCACTTCCAGCATGCCAGGTATTACTCTGCCAGTTGCAAACTAATATGACAAAAGTACTTCTAGCGGATAAATAAATAATTAATCAATATAGTAAATCACAATAAAGAAATTAATATTACCATCTCTTTTACAACTTGAGCAAAACACTACGGACTACTGGTGTGTTAATCATCTAACTTTTCTTTCTGGGTTAGCATCAAATGGATATATGAATGAGGGCCATGAGGCAAGCCAACAT